TGAACTTTCCAAACCACATCGACTAATGCAGAGGCATGACGATTCATGAACGGCCATTTCAGGGTATTGAAAAGTCCCACAATTAGAAACTTTTTTTGAAAACCGAATTATTTGCCTCCTTTGCGTGTAAAATTGAAAAATATGTAATTGTCTACCGAGTGAGCAAAAGAATGAATATTTTATGCATGTTTTCATTAAATATAATTGGACATTTATGGGCATCGAAAATCAATGAGAAAAATGCATGCTGCTTAAGAAGTCATTTTTTACAGAGTGTAGTTTTCGCATGCAGCCGGAAGGAAGTTCATTCGAAAGCCGGCATCCTGATGTAACTGAGATATCATAGAGTTATGTTGCAGGTTGACTAGTTGTACAACCCACGGTAATTAACCTTTTCTAAACGAAAACGCACTTCGGAATTTCGGTTGACATTTCATGAGTTAGCCCACCTACTGTAGTTGTAAGACAGTTTCTTCCAATATGCTCTTTTAAATTTTCGTTGACTCAATTCCGAACACTGATACTCGATGTACTCGCGTTGTTCTTGTACTTCATTTACCATACAGCAATCCCTTTCTGATCTGTTTCCTGTCAAGTACAGGCAACTGCGCAGCGACCCCATTCAAACCTACCGCACTGTCAGAGACCGTGAGTGTGCCCTTGAGTTTGACGAATTCTTTGAATTGGCTGGAACGGACTGTCTGGGTGGTCATTCCTTGAAACTGCAGACGTTCAACGGAACGTTTTCTCGCAGAGGGTCGCTAGAGCAGATAAGGGACTCCCAGACGCAATGATTCTTTCCGAAACTGTTGAATCCTCTATATGCAGTCTAGAGGCTCCTTTACTGAAAATATACTGCACATATAATCCCGATTGTGTCGGTGGCGGCACTTTGCTCCTAGCTCGCACATATCGGTAAATTTTTAATTTCCAGAATTCCTGGAGTTACAATTGATTTAATGGCTATTTTTGAATAGGGGCGAAAGTATCGTTCCCTTGATAAACTGACTTCAGCCGTTTAATGGCCACTTAGGATCATCCGCTGATTTCGAGAATCTCGCAGGCCATGCCCAAACGCTGCTGCGATCAAAATTTGATTGTCGAATTCTATGATGCATTCCCTTTTTTCGCCTGCTCAGCATTTTCCATGAAGCTGGAATCTTTCTAAATATTTGGGAGACATTACACAGCATGCTTCCCCCAAAGCTTGGTCATTCTACTGCAGCAGGGGATTTTAGACTCGTAGAAACTCCCCTAGTTGTTTCGGTGATTTTAGTGAAGAGAATTAAAAATTCGGGGAAGAACCTTCTTTGTACATCCCAAAAGACATTGCGTAAAGACTCGATCATAGGGCACGTGTCTACCGTATATATTTGGTTAAAATTTAGCCTGCAGACTGTGTAACGTTTTCGCTTTTTCATAAACACGTCCATTGAAACGTTTTCTTCTTCTCTAAAGGTTTCTCTCGTCTGGGATTATGGAAATTCTCTAATCAACTGTATCAAAATGTATCTTCGGTTTCCCGTTTGTAAAAATTTGAGTTACATAACTAGTGTGCTTACAGGGTTTTTTTCAAAGTGGCAGATTTCTCAGGTATGTTGACCGCTTGAAAGTCGTCCAAAGATACCAGATAACACCTTTGACAGGTAGATAATGACTTACGGATCCCTATACGATAGCGCTGAATCTGGTCGTTATGTTCAATTATAGTACTGATTTTTTTAAGCAGGTTTGCGATGCTACCAGTTTTTAGCCTACTTACTTAACGGTTGACGGCGACTTGGGGAATCACGGTCGAAAATCCTTACGGAATTCCCTACTTTGCCCAATGAACGTATTTGGCTTCAAACATTTAGCATTAATGTCAGTTGATAGTAAAGCTTTAGGCAGATTTCACTCCAACAACCTTAGTCTCTCAAAATGCTTGTTTTGCTGCGCACTATGTAGGTCAACTGTGATTTCAAAATCATAAATAATAAAAAATATCGACTCTGCGTTTGGTCTGGATTGAAATGTTTTTCTTATTCATCCTCGGCGCTATCGGTCAGCAAAAGAAGACTTGATCCGTCGAGCGATTCTCGTGCTCCGATAACTGTGCCCGTTGGACTGTTGTAATTTTACCTTCAATGAGCACAGTGAAATAGTAGAACGTGATCTCCCGTTACTTCACGCATTAAAACGGAGTATGTTTTGGTTGTTTGAATTCAGTTACGCAAGAGGCCATCGCACAGAACGTGACACTACGTCTGTGCAAATGTGCGGTTTCTTACTTAGCGAACACGTTTAAACCTCTGTTAGGCCTGGTTGACTGGAGCAAAACGAAATTAGCTGTTCTGAGACATGTGAACCTAGGTTTGTCTGTTTGAGGGATTTGCTTGGACTCAATAAAGCGGATTAGCATGCCCAGTAGATGTAACGGCAAATGGGCGTATAGAATTTGCTGTCGAACACTCTGGACGCCTTATGCGTATTTACCACCTTTCTTGGTACAAACTAACCTCCACTCTGATTGCATAGGGATGAAAACTAATCCGATTCCCAAAGGCGGTTACCAAAATTTCCGATAATTATACGCCGGTTGCCTAAAGCATTTGCGGCAGAATAGTAAAGTGGCTTGTCGAAAAGGTCACCATTCGGATTTTTGAAAATAAACACGGATCTCCTAGGTGTCCATTAGGGTTTTTGAAAAGGAGGCCTCCACATTACCCGTGTACTGTATGTGCGCACTAAACTGGAAACATAAATTTCTACACGGGTGTTAGTTTGCTAATTTACAAGACAAATTTGTAGGCAGATTAGGAGTGCTGAAATGCATTATAAATGCTCAACTGCAAAATGTGATTAGCGATTCCCAAACTTGGTCATTTAAGTGTTTCCGTGGAAAGAAGTTTGGATGTACCTAATGAAATGAATTAGCCATTGCCACTAGAAATTTCAGCGAGAGTGTCAAGAGGGCTTTTGATTAAACGGCCTGTACTGCTTATGCATATTGCCCAGTCGTCCTTGGACTGGGGCACCGTCCCCTGCGATTCGGCAATGATTTATATGAACCTGATTGATTCAGAGGGGTGTTGAACTAGTGCTATCAGCTATACCTCGATGAACCTAACCCACGATTGCCGCACTACTATAGAACAGCTTCTTTGATAGATCATGTATGGGTATTTTGTAAAAGAATCGTTATCAAGTGTGCTCAACAGGGCTTGCAGTATACATCTGTTCAGAGTTATATATTAAGCAGAATTGTGGTCATTATACCTATGCTGACCCCGAGGGAACTTTTGCTATCGTCTCAAATCGTCGACAGTTGAATAAGCCTTGGTAAGCTGGGATTTGGTGGTTGTGTTGGTCTGGATAGAATAGTTCAGGAGATTGAATAAGAAGCCGCAGTCAGTGCCCTTAAGCACAGACTGGAAGCATATTTACCTATAAAGAACATCTTGGCCAAGAAGGAAAGCGTCATTTCCCTATCAAAACTTTAATCATACCTAAATTTAACAGAATCAGAGATGGAAAAGAACAGGTGAGTCCCGGAAAGCAGCTCGACGTTTATTGGCCTGACGTTTTGGATTCTCACTCGACCCCACCATCAGAGGCAGTTACAGATAAAGATGTTTGAGGCACAAAGACTGCAGTATTTATAGTGCCTAACTGCTGTGGGACCACATGTGTTCTATAATTAACAGTTTTTTGATCATCACTGATGGTCCTTATTAAGTCGATGATAGCTCGTCAATCCGCGTCCAAATCGCTGATTGCCGTTATTATATCATCCGTGTTGGGTGTTGGCGTGATGATACTCGTCAGTTAGGCCCGCTGTCATTTGGACTGTTGCTTGTCCACGCTCTCCTCTCGTGACTGATTTCCCTGCTCAAGCAATGTCGCAACGTCGTATATGGTACCGCGAAGTCTATTCGTTTCGTCTGTCGTTTCTGTCTGTTTAAGGATTGGTTCAATTTCTGAAATCAAGTTGAAAGGTATGGCACCGGCTGGGTTAAATGAGACTAAATACCTTGATACCTGCATTTAATCCTCCGGCAGCTCTTTTGACGACAGCTTATGCACCAGTTTGTCGTTCTCGGATGAAGTTGGAGCAGGCAGCTCATGGAATCTGTTCTCTTTTGCTGGTCCGCTTGTCGCTCTCTACTGGCGGGTTCGTTGGTAGTCGATACATGCCTGCGTCCAAACCTTCAGGTTCTTGTGCATCCCAGGACAGATGAAACGGACGTAGAACGCTCTCTTGGTGACTCGACGCATGTGATGAGAGAGGTTTCGCAGGTAGGTAAAAACATCGCGGTCGAGGGTAGGTGAGACTCTTTGGAGGCGATACAGAAGATGGCGCCGCCGCCAGTAGTGGGAGAGAGGTCTTGGAGTTGGAGTTAGTGGGCGCCTTCGTCACAGGGGGTAAAAAACGTGCATTTCGGCAGCAGTCTCAGGTAGTTCGATCCACGGATGGAGGCTCATAGTCTGCGGGGAAACCACACGCTTACTATAATTAGCAGGCTTCACCATCACCGGCGGGGGCCGTAATTGATGCAATGATAACTTGTCAGTCCGCGTCCGAGTCGTTGATTGCCGTAATTTTATCATGCGTGTTTAGCGTTGACGTGATGATTATTCGGCAGTTTGGGTATCTGATGATGATTTCGAGTGAGAATCCGAAACGTCAGTCCAATAAACTTCTTGTTCCAGTGATCAAGTATTCCTCTTTTTCTAGATTCCGACGTACTACCTTTTACCCATCATCTCCTAAAAAGCTTTCATACATAAAACCCAATATTACTAAATCTCGTTTGCAGTGTGTTTATTGGGATCCCACATTCATCTGAGGTTTCCCATCTTTGCTGTCAGATCTTTTGCATATTGTCACTAACTTTATCAAACTTTGCTGAACTTTACCCAGTTTATGCCTTAATTTCCAGTACCCACAATTTATTGATCCACGTCCTCATCCATAAAATAAATAAGATTTTAGAAAATACGGTTTTTATTCAGCATGCTTAAAAGGGAGAAACAGTCCGTTTAGCCAGAGCGAACAGCGTGATCAGGAAAATGAGGAACTAAAAACAGGAAAAAAGTTCAAATGTCATTCAATGGGTATTTTACACGAATTTAATTTTAGAGTAGTTCTATACTCTTCTCCGCTCTGTGTTGCACATATTTACTTTACTGGAGGGAACAAAAAAGCTGAAATTCAAGCAATGCTCGCTTTTTAAAGGACCTGAAAAGGAGATACAGCAGATGTGCTAACTAATAAAATGCTAATCATAATATTAAAATGCATTTTTGACTCGAAAATATTACTTAAGAAGGATTTTTATATTAATTACCATGCAGCATAATCCTAGGTCATTTAATTTAAAACGAAAGGATGGCTTTCAAATAAGATTTTTTGGCCGCCTGTAAAACCTACGCTATGTAAAAAAAGACCACTTAAAGATGTTTTTTCTCATTTGTTTTCGGTGCCCTTGTATGCTTAAGTACGTCTTATAGAAAACATGCGTAAAAAATCATTGTTTTAATCATTTCATAGTATACTACGTCTTTTGCACATTTTTTACTTGAAGGAAGTGTATAATTTGATTTTCAAAAAGCTTCTTATAATGAGATTTTTGAGACAGCAAAATGTGCTAAATCTAATGAACCTCATATGGTCTGCTTCTCATGGCGTCTAGTATTATATGATTTCTATACACGTAAGGTTTACTGCTTGTAAATTGTAAACTTTGGATGCAAGTGTAACAGCAGGTCGGCTTCAAAAGTATTCGGGAATCGGAATAGCTGTTTAAAGCCAAATTTTCCCTTCCTCCAAGTTTCAAATTTACTAATGACCTAATATTCTACTAAATGAGTAAAAGGGTGAACATTTTCATGCTTCTTTTTCTACTAAATATATTCAAACTCATAAGGGTATTGAAGACCTTAAGGAAAAAATCATATTACTTCATTGTTTATTTTTAACAAAGTGTAAATTTTGCTGGCGGCCGAAAAAAAATTAGCTCAGATGCCGGCATCTCGAAGTAGCAGAAATGTCTTGGGATTGTGCTGCATGGTGATTAAGGTTGCAACCCTTCTGAAGTAATACTTTCGCGTCGGTAACGCATTTTGGCATTTCGATTAACATCTCAGTAGTTGGCACACCTACTGCATACATGTGCCTCTAATTTCCAACAATTAACCCTCTTCTTAGGAACTCTTGTTTTAACTGTCTGCTTTCATTAATTACTTAAAGAATCGGCATGTGATTTTTTGGTGAGTTTGCAACCAATTTCATATAAACACCCATTGGTCGACTTGTGATTGTTTGTTGGCTGTTGACCCGTAGGGCGCAGTAATTACCTGGAAAATCATAGCGCCTAGGAGGATGAAAAAGAATATTGTCATGCCCTGCTTTGTGAGCAGAATAAGTTTTCCTCTGCATCCATTTTTAACAACCGCGGCTGTGATGAGACAATTGCATGAGATATCAGCGCAACAAAGGCGGGAACAGTGGCCGGCTGAAATAAGCAGAAATTTAAGTTAGTTTGGTTAAACAAATGTTCAATACATTTCGCAGAAAACAACAATTTGATGAATTTTTTTCCCCGGTACGAAATTGAAAGCAAATTTTACCGGTACTAACAATTGCGCAAGGGCTGAACAGCTGCACCCTGTCGCTTTATAACATAAATAACAAGTGAGAAGAAAGCAGCAGTTTGAATTCTCCCAAAAAATCAATGCAAAACAGCAAGGTAATAGTTAGGGTAATCAACGAAATTGTAGTTTAAACACGATATGGGAAGGATAATGTGAAAACGTTAATAGGCATAAAGGAAAAGGGAAATTTTAAGATCGATGAGCTAGAGATTACCACGAAAATTTTAGGCTGACCAAACCCCTCATCAGTTTACAAATGTCTGGTTTCATTCGCTCTGTAGGATGTTTTTGGGTCAACAGAGTGACCGTTATCAAGTAGGTGCTTTGTAGTGAAGGAACGCGGAATTTTGTTTCTTTCTTTAGAAGCCATCTGGGCAGGTACACAATCGACCCAGCTGTCGACTGCCTTTGCGTTTGCCTAATGTACTTGCATCCGCAAGTGCATGTGAATTCATTGGCGTGCATTGGCAAGACATTCTTTGTCGTGGAATTTGTTGGTACCAGAAAATTCTACTTTACTCGCTTGCTTTGAAAAAAACAATAAGCCTACCAGCATTCTGTTGCAAATAAGCGCAAACAAACGTGAGCTAATGCATTCAGCGATATTTCGCATGTATGCGGAAGGCGTACTGGAAAAAAGCAAACAAGACTGGGGTGACCAGCTATGTGCAATGTAGGTGAAGACATTTCGCGTAAATCTGGTGTTGATGGTGTGTAGCAGACAAGGGCTCATAGCGCAGAAATAAGCAGTTCAGTCCTCATTATTTTTTTCGACCCTTCGGCAATAATACTGGTAGCTAAGCAGCAGGATGAATATATTCCGTAATTTAGTTGGTGAGCGCACTAACAACATAATAGCCATTCCCAATCGCAACCAGCAGGACAATGCTGTCAGGCGTTGACGAAACAACGCAGATTTAAACCTCGGGCCCTGCAATTCTGACATTTGGTAGGGTTGGATGACGACGACAAAAAACCAAAAATGAGTGTGCCCTGTGTTGCGATAGGCAAGCGCATTTACTTCGATATGCATGTATACATATATGTGTACGTAATGGTAGAGTAACGGTCACCGATCTCTTTTAAAGTCCTTACTTATTCTGTTGTGTTTTTTGGGCTTGCTCTCGAGCCCAACCAGTAACGCACAGCCGCGCATGAAACGGACAGAATGGTATTGTCAACAAAGACAGGGAAGCCTGTAATGGCCATTTCTGGCTTATTAGTCGTCTTCAGCCATTCATACTCAAACCGAAGTGTGGAACACCTGGGGCTCCAGACCGCGACCTGTTATTTAGATGTGCTACGTCTCTAACTACTGAGCCCCGAATGGTAAACCAGCTGACTACATCATACGTCGTTGTACAGCTGCTGGTTGGGCTCGAGAGATGGACCCGCAAGGCACAACGGAACGCGTGAGTTCCATACCACGATCGATGAGCACCCCTCTGCCATTGTACATACCCGATCGCAACCGATAATAACTTTCCATCAGGAACAGCCAACGCTTTACTCTGATAATGAGAACGAGAGGGTTTCTGAAACGTCAATTCAAATACACTTTGGCCCAAGAATTCGCCATCTCTTATTCTTCATCTTCTTCGGGGGGGGGGTATATATGTATATAAATAGCAAATGTTTTTTGCCTTTCCTCTAACGTCGGTCCCAGCATACATTCCACCTACATGTTTCGCCGATGGTTCTGATGCCAATAGAAGCGGTGGTGGAATTCTGTTTCTTAGTGGCTTCCCGGTCGTCTCACTATGCCCCGTTGCCCCCTACCATTGTATGTTCCCGACCAAAACCGACAAGGCAACGGCCTCGTGGCCCACTGCTTAAAGGCGTGGACCTCTAACAAATAGGTCACGAGTTCGGGTTTCGGGTGTTCCACACCTCGAGGTTGGGTATGACTGTCTGACGACGGCTAATAGCCTGGATTGACCGTTCCAGGCTCCCTTGTATTTGTCGGAAATAACATACTGCATATTTATCTGTGTGACTTTCCAAATCAAGCAAGCTCCCTACGGGTTGCAAAAGCCACAAACAGCCAACTAAATACCAGGCCGAATTCGACCAATTTTAATAGCAGATGGGGATTAATTACAGAGAAAATGTTCCACCTCCCCTCTCAAAATTCGTAAAACAGGGGTACTGTCAATAAGAACTGGAGTCGATACCGACCATCAAAAGTGGAGACCTCATAAAAATTGGGAATAGTGGTTTGGAAAATCAATAAAATGTTTTCGGGTAGTTTACACAAGGTAACGCACACGAGACGAGATGGTCTGCCTTCGATGTGGAATTCAATGAATGATGTATTGGACCATCTGTTTTCAGTGACCTGCAAATTTAGGCCCCGCGAACTGAAATGGCACTTTTTTCTTCCCGAATCTTTCAAATTTTTTTACAGACCGCTACGAATATTTCCAAATGTACCCCTTTGAGTGAGCTTACTGACGTCGTAATAGGTGAATTTCGGTCATTTCACAATATGCTCACGTTGTACAGTCCAACACAAACTTTATGCCACTACGCATTTTCCTCTCTTTCCTCGAGCATTATTAGAAAATGAAATCAGTGCCCTTTGAATGACTAAGAGCACCAAGTCGTCTCCCTTGTATGGCATGATAGCCAAGAAGTCCCGGATAGCATAGGCTTTTTCTGACACGTTTGTGAAGTTGTAAGACCATTAAGATTAAAAATTTCCAACTCTTGTTATTTGTTAAATTCTATGCTACGAATCCGGGATTTTAATAAGACGCTGGAACGGTAGACGAGAGAACACGTAATCTTTTATGCACACACTTACCCAGCACGTCCTTGAAGTCTTCAGGTCCATTCATTCCACAACATGGACCACCGGTCTACAATAATGTCACACTTTCAGTTTTTGCTCCCTACGACTTCTGATGATGAAGAAGAAGAGTTTGTAAAAATATTATGAGTTCGCAAAAAGATTTAACCGGAAAAAATCCCTTTTGAACGCATTTGAGTCCTCTCCTTTAAACTTGTGATGATAGGTCGCAAACGTGAATGCAAAACGCAAGGTTCCTTACACTTTCTAGGCCCTATATATACTCGGAGTTATTTTAATAAAATGCTCTATAGCGTTATTCTTCCATCTCGTTTGCTGGAAAGTAATATACATATAAACTTTATTATAAACAGTCTGGATGTAGGTGGCCTGACGTTTATCTAACCGTCCTACTGCTTACTTTGTCTTCAGTAGTAACATGTAGCGCATTGGAGGAATAAGCAGAAGAGAAGCAACATGTGGTCTGTCGCCTGATGCATTTCTGTAAGTTGATTTTAAAAACGGCGGAGTTTAAAACCTTTTTCTCAGATATGTCAGTTAAGTTAGCACGCCGGAAGCCTACAAAAGAATATTTTTCTAAACCGACCCCGCCTCGCACGCATGAACCAAGAAACTTACGGATGCGTATTTGTCATTCCCACATCACATATCTTAGAAAATCTTGGCGTCTTTAACGTTTTCGCCCGGTGTAATAAAGGAAGTCACGGAATGCCGAGGCCTAAGGGACATTTGCATAGACTTACATTCGACCTTGGTATATAGATAAACTATTCTACATAGCAAGGGAGAAAACGGAGCAGGATGTATGCCTCGGCACCGTTCACGCTTTAAATAAGGGAAAGAATCATCCCCTTTCGTGAATTCATTTGCTGACAGAATAAGTGGCGCCTGCGCAAACGAAAAAGTGTTCGCGTTCTTCGAAGAGGATGAAAAGGGTCTCTAAGCATCGCTATCCATGCGCATCTTGAAAAATCTGTTTATCTGTGGACATAACTGAGGCCTTCTAGATCTTTAATCGTATTCGTAAGAGGATACGCCGACTATCACTGGTAGCAAAGGATTGCTATGCGGGATTTTCATATGCCGATCCTAAAAATTCTCGATATAATCCGATCTGTATATACAGTTAGCCGTCACCTATTCGTGGTTCAGTATTCGATGGTCTCATTTTTCGTAGAAAGCATCTGGCAATTATGGAAAATAATGCTCATATGCCTCCGTTGCTAAGACAATTTTCATAATAAATAACTATTTACCTATTTTGGAATATTGAAACAAACACGGTTGCATATAAAAAATCTAATTTTTTTCTAAAGAAGCCTTGGCAAACGATGAGCAAATCTAAACATACGAAGGAACAGCAACACTTCTTAAGACCGTAAAGGTATGAGCCCTTGGGTCTTGAAACCACTAAACAACTGTCTGAAAAGGTGTCATTGATGAATAAAAAGGACTCCAGAATGGACCAGTAGTGTCCCAAAGGATATGTTTTGCCACTGGAAGCGAGGAAAGAGTCAAAGGAAACAGTCTTGAGAAAGGACACACAATCTCTGGGAAAAAAAACTTTATTCGCCTGGCGTTTCGGATTACTTCTCGAAATCAACCTATCCATATCTGCTAATGTGTCTGACGATGAGGAATTTGAAACATCAAGTGAATAAGGTTTTTTATCGGAACGATCGTGCCGCTTTATTAGCGCTGCTCCTCCGCATTGCTGCACGGTCATTTCTTTGTCATTTTTCGTCCACCTGCACAGCTAGTGCATCATCAGATTCTTCCTCAATCAGCATTCATCGGTAGTGATTATCCGCATGACTAACGTTATCTTTAATAACTTACAGTTTTTTGCATCTTTAAATAGAGACTTCGATATTTGAAGACAGTACCTAACTTTTCCCTGTACTTGTGAATGAACTTATACTACTCCTATGCGCTGCATACGGTATAAGAAAACAATAAGACTTGAGCACTCTGGGGAAAAAAATAGTCGACTCTAAATATATGGGTAACAGTAATTAGTTTTCGCGTTATTAAGAGTGATAATTGGCTGTTGGTTCATGCATAACTGTAAGTCACATATATTTATAGGAATGATGTTTATGATAGCTTTGGAATGATAGTCACAGGTGTTAGGAGGATAGCTTAAAGGATATTTGGTGTTTGATAACCAAAACATGTAATTCTTAACGTTTTTAGAGATGTCTCAAGTCTTCGCGTATTTCAGCTATTCGCGGGCAGCTGCGATCCCTAACTGAGGTGGTCACCAGGGGAGTTTACTAGACTTTTTACGCACGGAGGAGGCCACTTGTAGGAATTTAAAGCGAGATTGCAGTCAGTTAGTCAAGATGTAATTAACAAATAATAACTAGGGGTATATGTGTTAAAGGCTAGACTAGTCCTTTTTGTTATTTTAGGGACTTTCTTGAACAGACGGAGTTTTTGTTAGGCGACTCCATTGCATACTTTAATCTCGTTATAGACTTGGTGCCTTGTTTGATCAGCCCACTTAATGGCAGTAGCCTGACAAATGCCATAACCCCATCGATCACCCAAACGAACTGTAACCGAAATGAGAGCGGCAGTGAACAACCAATCAGGCTACATCCACAGTCCCCGCCTAACCAAATACGGACATAAAGGAAGGGCGCTAACTAGCGTGTTCTGTTAAGGACTATCCCTTCGCGTATGATTATGGATGGGTTACGTTCTGCTTACTGCAGAGAAGAGCGAACGGGCTTGCGTGCTCTGGACTCATAACGAACGCAAGAAACCTTGCCTCGCCTTACGCAATTTTTTTTTCCCATGATTGATAGTAACGAATCCCCACAGTTCGTTAACTCATAAATTCTGTTAGGTTCGTTGTATTTGACGAGTTGTTGTCGGTGATGTGGATTCATTCCCTAAGCCTATTCTTTCCCAGTCAAATCAGTGGTCACTTAAGAACACATGTCGATTCTAGTCGTTCGCTCCAAATGGGGCATTTTCACCTTAGATGTTTCAACAAATTGTTCTGTCTACACCGGCACGAACTACATCTGGTTCCTTTTAATTCCGACATGTCTGCTAATCGCGTCTGCCCTGTATCGTTTTGACCCTATTCGATCAAATTCTGCGGGCCTTCCATGCTAAAACTTTGCTAGGTATTTATTTTAAACGAAATGGAGGGCCATTTCCACAGAGAATATGTTAAGATCTAGTTATGTTGCCCCATCTGATGAACACAATACTGTTAGGGGGTTATGGGTTAGAGTAAAGGGCTAGGAGTTGGAGTTATAGCTAGTGGTTACAGTTAGGGGTTAGGGAAAATATTTCTCATCCACTAAAAGTGCAACCGCTAATTTCCAATGGACAAGGCCATCACCGTCAAAGACTGGTTTATGGCAAAGCCAGCAGAACCGCTATGGCGAGATTCTACGGTCTCCCAAAAGTACACAAGCCAGATGTTCCCCTCCGTCCTATCGTCTCACTCCGAGGCACACCCACAGACGGGCTTGCAAGCTGGCTATTTCATTAGCTAAGATTCCTAACTGCAGGCTCACAAACAACGGTGCACTCGGTAGAACAATTCCTTGACAAAATAAGGGCAGTCACGATCGAACCGAATGAAAGGATGGTGTCTTTTGACGTCGTCTCACTCTTCACGTCCATACCACAGGCCCTTGCGGTTGAAACGCTCAGTGACTTGCTACGTCAAAATTACGACGGGGGCGATGCCCAGCCCACAGCTCAGAATCCCATAGAACTCATGGGGCACTGTCTCAAGACATTCTTTACCTTTGAAGGGACCGCATACGAGCAGATCAAGAGCACTCCAATGGGTTCACCAATCCCCGGGCTCATTGCCGAGGCGGTTCTACAAAAACTCAAGAGACGACTATTCAAGGAATACAAACCCAAGTTTTTGGCACGCTAAGTTGATGACACCTTTGTAATCATCGACCAGGATAAAATGAACTACTAAGTGGAAATACTGAATTCAATCATTCCTGATCTACAATTCACGATGGAAGAGGAAGTAGGGGACAAACTTGCATTCTTGGATGTTCTCGTCGGCCGACAACCAAATGGCGATCTAGCGACGTCGGTCTACAGAAAACCGACGAAGACGTTGCAAATGCTCGGCTACAACGGCAACCACCCGCTGCAACACAAACGAAGCTGTGTCCGCACGCTGTACCGACGGGTGGAAACTCATTGCAGCACACCAGCCGCCAAACTGGACGAGATAAAGCACCTCCGAGAACTCTTCAGAGCCAATGGCTATCCGCGGGCATTCATTGAACGGAGCCGGAGGCAGCCAAAGAAACGAAACGAAGAGCACAATCAGTCAAACTCGTGGCAGAGCATTCCGTACAGTAAAGGGGTCTTCGAAGCCGTTGCTCGATCACTCGCGCCACTCGGAATAGGTGTTGCCCACAGGCCTGACTCAACAATCTGCCGGCAAGTGATGCGACCAAAAGATCCGATCCCTAAGCGGGAGATATCGGCCGTTGTCTACCGACTTCAAGGCAGCTGCGGAAGCTGCAACTACGTTGGGGAAACCGGCCGACTGCTGCAAACGCGAATGCACGAGCATAAATTGGCCTTGCAAAGGTTAGACCCAAAGTCGGAGGTAGCAACCCATGCCCCGCAAATGGGACACATCTTCAACTTTGACGTCGTTGAGATTGTGGGCCGGGGCGGCGATCACACAGCAAGGCAAATGCAAGAAGCCTGGATGTCCACCGATTGCTTTGTCAACCGCCACATCAATTTGCCCCCCCCCCTATCTGACATTACGAACCTTCTTAGCGGGGGACAGTCACGGCGCGGGACAATCGGGGCCGTCAGTCATCTCCGCGGCCGACGGGGGCGAGTCAGGTCACGGTGCCATGCGGGTTGGATGCAGCCACACAGACGGCATTGGCGGATAACGCATTGAACGAAGGGCGCCATTGTAGGGGGAGCTGTGCGCAGGACTTCCCAGTCTCTGAAGACGAGTAGACGAATAAACTACTCTAAACGTCGGAACTCAAATAAACCCCTCCCGGTGAAAGCCTCCTCCTCTTTTGATATGACACCTGGGAATCGCATTTTCACTACTATTGAGACTTTTCGTTTGCATACCGTTACTTGACCTCGCCTACTGTGCTGTATCCGGCCCCACTTATAAAAACAAATATTACCACCGGTCCCGTATTACAGGCAGCTAGGTTTCATTTACTTCAGGTGGGACTACATAACCACATCTGATCCTTCTTTATTTTATTTATCATCAACCGCAGGGGCGATCTTTACAGGTGAAGCAAACATCTTAATAGGGTATCAGGGGACTGCTTAAGACTTCGCTTTGACAGTTTCCCCAAAGTCCGACTACTCATTTACGCTGGACATGATATGCTACGCACAGGCCAATGGGTCTAATGCCATTCGGAAATGCATATTCTGAACCGCAATAACCTTCGAACGTTTTATGCACACCCCTTTTTTATCATGATGTCATATTTCCATCGCTTGACTGCTAATTTGTGTCATCTAGAATTCCGCTATTTAGACTGCAAGCGACTGGATACGAATAGTCGCCAGCTGAGCACTATTTCAAGGTAATAAGTGAGTTTATAAGGGAAATCTCTTACGCGAAGACATCTTTAATTTTAATGCAAAACGCGTGTGCGAAACTTAGAAGCAGCAAACAGAGCTTGCAAATCATGGGCGGACAATTATTCAGGAAATTATCGACTTTAAAAATCGATGACTCTCCACATGTTCTTTCATATGCTCATCAACCGTTGTATTAAACCACAGCAACTCCTGACATGCGAAATTTTAACCAACTTACTGTCATCAGAATATCCCAAAGGATAGTGGAAGTTGCAGTCGGATTCCCGTAGGAACTCAAATGGTTGCTCATCAGTTCCACCATGGAATTAGTGTACTAAAAACAGAAAAACAGGTTTACCATCGTTATTTTCGCAATGCCGGCGTTTCTGAAGCAATCGCCCGACAACGAAACCGGTTTGGTATCTTCATTGCTCACAAGCCGGCGTCCTCCTTGCACGCAACACTATCCCGAGTAAAAGACCCCATACCTAAAGAGCCGCAAATTAGTGTCATCTAGCATATTCCGTGTGTCAATTGCTCTTGTGATTATGCTGGCCACACAGGCAAACGATTTGGGACGTATATAAACGAACACCTGCCGTCGTGACTCCCTGTCACTTTTGTTTGTACACGTCCTTGAATGCGATCATAACTCCAAATGCGAAGGAAGTCAAGTTGTTGCCATGGCTAACACCATACAGGCTCGAGAATTCCTCGAAGCCAGGCACTCTAACAGGAGTAGCATCAATCACCATGTCGATCTGGACGCGCGTACCGGCTCAACGACTTGCGCCTAAGAATTAACAACGACCGCTAATCCATACTGGGCCATGTAGAACCTCATTATTTCGATACCTTCTTCCCAGGCACAGCGAACAGCAACTGCGAGTCCTAACACACCCAACGTTGGCGCACTGACCTCTACCTCCATGCCGGATCGACAACCACTAAGTTCACTGTCTGAACTCCCATTGAGTCGCCACCTTCCCCGTCCTCCAACACAGGGAACCGCAACAGTCCCTCCTTCCCTCCCCCGCCCCAGATCCCAACCACCCATTTCACACGCTACCCGCTTGTTTGTAGGTGGCTGTCCTGTCGCGCCAACCAATTTAGTCTTAACATTTCACTTTCTCCTCTGTTTATTTCGTGTCATGACGGGTTGATGTCACCAGCCGTCGCCCATCTGTTATAATTGATGTTCCCGTTCACAGTCGACAGTGCAACGGGCCCGTAGTTCCATGTTATTTTATCAAACTCTATGACCAAAGATCCCGGGTTCGAAACTCAAACGATCCACACTTGGGGTTGCGCATGACTGGCTGATGACGGCTAATAAGCCGGAAATAACCATTCTGGTCACTGTCTTCTTTGTCGGTACTATGTCATATATATGACATGTATGCAGAATATTTTTACGGACAAAGACAAGGGAGACTGGAATGGCCGTTTCTGGCTTATTAGCCGTCGTCGTCGGCCAGCCGTACGTTACCTCGAAGTGTGGAACACCTGAGGCTTGAACTGGCAACCTTTTAGTTAGGAGTTCAACGCCTCTAGCAACTGGACCACTGGCCCGTCGCCCTGACAGTTTCGATCAGGAATATACAATGTTAGAGGGGGGCGCTTACCGATCGAGCTTACTGGTTCCGTTGTACCGTAAGGGCTCTCTCTTCAGTCCAACCATCAGCCGCACAGCGGTGCATGAGCTAGGCGACGACTTATAGGTCAGAAGTGGTTATTCCAGTCTTTTCTGTCTTTGCTGGTTATCACATTTCTGTCTATATCATGCGCTGCTGTTTGGAATCGAGAGAGTGCCCGTAAAGCACAACGGAAAGAGTGAGTTCCGTAAGAACGATCGGTGAGCGCCCCTCTACCATATGACATACATATCAGCAAGAAGGGACGACTGAGATTGCCGGAAAATTGATATAGTACTGTTTCGGGCTTCTTTTGTCTTCAGTTAGTCATAACCCTAACCAGCAGCTGAGATCAGATACACCAACAGGCGCATAGACACGCCTGGTGTAGTTTATTAACCGCTGGGCTCAACTAGATGGGTCATAGGCACTTCATCGAACAGAATTTCATCAGTTCTTCGCCACCTGTAATTCTCTATCACCGAGGATCGTGTAGGTACCCAATCAGGAACGGATTCTCACTGATCTGTTGGCTTCCCGAAGCAAACAAGTTTCGTATATATGTACATATATATAGGCTGAATGGTAAAGAATACGTGCGATCGAAGAAATTTAATAGAAGAAGACGGGAAGAACATCGACCGTCAGGCCAGGTATGTTAGTGACACCGGCAAGCAGCTTCGCACGAGATCGCACTAGCATGAGTTGGCTGTGAGACGGAAAAATAAACTCTCCTTGGTAACCCTCGACGCCTCGTTGCAAGAGCACGATTTTGAATTTGGGTGCGTGAGAATATTGGGCCAGCCATAAAACCGAATATACAATGATAAAACGACGCTCAGGGACTGTCTTATGGAACTCACTCGTCTCGTTGTGCTTTAAGGTTAAAGGGATCGAGATCCAGGTGTTCCACACTTCGGAGTTGGGTTTGAATGGCTGGCGACAGCTATTGAGGTATAAATCTCCACTCTAGTCTCGCTTGTCTTTTGGGTAATGTTATTCTGCCTATTTTACACGCTCCTGTGCAGATGCTGGTTGGGGATAAGAGGGCTCTAAGGCACAAGAGTTCTGCAAAACGATCGGTGAGCGTCCCCTTAACATTTTATAAATATATATAGGTAGAATATAATGACTAACAAAGGCAAGGGAGACTAGAATAGCAATTTCCGGCTTATTAGATGTCTTCAGCTAGTCACACCCAATGGCGAAGTGGAAAGCACCGGGGTCTCCATCCCACAACCTCTACCATGTGCATGTACATATATCACCTTATCATATATATATATTATGTGCAGCTGCTGGTTGGGCTCGAGAGAGAGCCCTTAAGGCACAACGGAACGAGTGAGTTCCGTATGAACGATCGGTGAGCGCCCCTCGCATTGTATATTCCCGATCGAAAACCGACAGGGCAACGGGCTCGTGGCCCGGTGAGCAGAGGCGTTGACTTCTAAGCCAACGGGTCGCGAGTTCGAGGCTCGTATGTTCCACACTTCGGGCTTGGGTACGGCTGGCTGACGACGGCTAATAAGCCAGAAATGGCCCTTTCAGTCTCCCTTGTCTTTGTCGGTAATATCATTCTGCCCATATATATGTATGTTGTCAATACGGTATTACAATAATACTTTTCTGGTTGCGCTGCACGGTAACTGGCGCATTCCGCATGCAGCACTAGCTGTATCAAACTAAGACTCGAGTAACCTAATATTATCCGACAGTATCACTGCCGTACATCCATACTATTACTGCTTTATAACGGCTGTAGATATTTATCGCTTCGACTCTACTAATTGCACCATTTTGCGCTCCTTAAGTAATAAACCACTATTTTGTTAGTGCCACGGCTACTAATAATGCCGCTGCTACTGCATCGTTATTTTAGCATTGTGACAGCTATTTATATCATCCGTAATTAAATAAAAGCTTTGATTTCAAACGTCTTCCTCAAACGTATCGACAGTTGTCGCGGTTGACGTATTTGAAATAAAATAAACTCGGTAATTGTGTTGATAAAAAGGACTACTTACCCGCGCCTCATCAGAGAAGACTACAATGACGCCAATTACCTGACCGGCAAGCAATATGCCCAGAATGAGAGCGTACTGAAAGGTTGTTTGAAGAAGAAATAAATTTAGTAACCAGTCAACTAGCGGTCTGAGCTAGGCCAGTAAATGTCGGCCAACTTACGATCTTTAGGAGAAGTCGTAGATCACAGCATGCCGCAATAAATCCCACAATGCACAGGGTGGCTAGAGCCAAGCCCATGACAATGAGAGCCGCCGAGACGCCAACTAAAAGAGGCAGCATCGGACGATGAGCGCGTGATTCCAAAAACGCAATATAATGTCAACGACGACCAAACAGGTTTCATTGATGCATACAACAGTAGCAAAGAAAAGGACTCGAGTTAGTAGGAAAACGCGGTTGCGGCTTGTGGTGACTAAAAAGGACTATGAAAGGGACAACAGTAGCAGTTCAGTTCAGTTTATTTAGATGAAATTTAGGCGTGAGCATTCGGAAACCGTATTGGATGTTTTCAACTAAGCCTGTTTTTGATAAATTGATAAGAGATACATTACGAAGTGTCCCTATGTTATGAGAAACTGCAGCACCCAAAGTAACGTGGATTTACTTTTAGAAATCTGGAAGAATTTAGGTTCTTAGCGGAGGGCTTTCTGTCGATTCGTCCTACTCACAAGGCGAAATATTGCCGCGGTTTTTTACCTTAGGGCTCAGGTTATAAGCCACGGAGGAGGTCATACAGCCATGAACAGGATGCTTTATCGAGAGCTGCTGCCGACTTAGACAATGACGACTTGATTGGCGATTGAAGTCACTTAGGTCACGCCCGCAGATCAGCAGCATTTGATGTTCAAGACTTAGCTCATCGGGCTTATAGAATTGCTCGTAAACCACCGATTTAAATGCTATTCTCTTCAAGTAGGAATAATGATAGTCCTGCGATTTTTGTTGTTTAAAATTTTTATTAACAGTCGCGAAAGCAAAGATACCAATTTTGTGACAAGGAATGTCGGTAGAGTTGACAAAACGCAGTTTTTACATTGACAAGCAGGACTAAAATAGTTTGCTGTTAGATATATATTTCGGCGCCTTTTTACTTCAGCGCATCCTATTTTTCTTATTTTTTTGTTTTTGCGAGGACAAAACAGAGCATAAGCTTGATCCCATTTAAATGACAACATACTTTCGTTTTCGGAGACAAAAGTGACGAGAGTTTTCATTTGTTCATCACTTGGTATCGTGGGAAACTGATTTAGAATCGAGTGTATGATATTCCTGACAAGGTCCGGAGACGTTCTCAGAAGGATTCCAATCAAAGCGAGAATGAGAAAGCCAACCTTTGACAGAAATTAACATTTATCAGTGCAGTTTGCCCAAGGGAATCAAGACATTTTATCACGTGCAAAATCTCGCTGAAGTAATACCAATATGTTTCGGTAAGTCCGGATTGTTGATGCCGATCTTCGGACAGAAGTAATCACTGATTTATCTCTTTCAAAAAAGTTGGATCTCTCTCGCTCTGAAGCCACGAACCAGTTTATTCCTTAACTAGGAAGGCATTGGAGTAAAAAACCTGTCATCTTAATGACTTTCCATCTAGTATTGCGATTGAATACTTGGAAACGTGAAATTTCTAGCATGCGACGTTAAACCTGATTGACGCAATTTTCTTATTTCGTCTCAAACAGCGTTTGCTATTCGTACTTTTCTTTGTAAAAGCGTGTCATTGACTATTATGTCTCTAAAATGGATGATCGGATGGCAATCTTGTTATGTTATGAGTACGTTAGCATTCTACTAGTTAAACTGCTTTAAAACATTGTCGAATATTTGTTTAATACGACATACCCACCAGCCTACCTATTACAAAGTTGTAAACTAACTTGGTGGATTGGAAAGTCAGTAAACGAAATATATGCAGGCAATGAACTTCCCGCGTTTTGGTATCCCAAACCCCTTATTCAGCACATTGTTTATAATTGATGATAATAACCAGGTCGGCTTGTTTGTGGCAGATATTACTGCTTTGAGAAAAGTAAAACTCTGGTGCCAATTCGACCAAATAAATTTGACGTCTAAGCATTTTGAGGTCACATGACAATGCATTGAAGGCCATCTCGTCGACGGTCCTTTGGGGTTACCATTATCGTTCGAACAACATAAAGACTATTATTATACTCGAGAATTTGGGAATAGAAGGGGCGATTCTACTTGGTAACTCATGGTACATTCGCGCATCTCATTATTAAAGATCAATTCTGCACGTATTAGGTCGTGCATGGCACGCCTAGACGGGCCATTCGGCTTCGTCAGCACCGCATACAAGCCCACATCTGATTTTTCTGACACTGTCTTGCCACCGGATCCAGGTGGTTAGGGGAGAAGTGCGGCAGAGGGTACGTCTGTCTACTGCCACTATCCTGCACCCACTACGTCGAGGTAGACCTCATCGTTCAAGACTTCGAACTAAGAGTTGCAAAAATTCCCGTAGCAGTAATCAGAAGACGGGGTGGCGAGCATACGTAGCTTACGATAAATTCGCGCCGGGCCAGTACAATTATATGGGAACGGGGTAGAGGTCAGTGATAAGAAAAATCGATAGAATTTATCCTCCCCCACATTCTTACACCCCGCCTGTGTTTTAAGTAGAACTTTTATAGATTGCTCTTATCACTGACGTGTTTCATGTCTACCCCGTTCCCATCTAACTGTACTGGCCCGACGATAATTTATCGAAAGCTACGTATGCTCGCCACTTCTACTTCGAACTGACATTTAGGGTCACCAATCGCAAAACGGCATCATCGGCAATATTTGATAAGCAAATAAATTCTGCGCATCGACGCTGTTGCGGACAGCCATCGTGGTCATATCTGCTGTCCTCGTTCAAGGTCCTGCTGCCTCCAGGTCATTAACTTTCACAGCGAGCGGTTCCAGACGTGTTAACCCGCAGCCACTCTACTGACTTCACCTCGGACGCCCATTCGCCACTTGAACACACCGTCGCCCCCCCCCCCCACCCCCCTGCGAATGCAACTCAAACCACTTGAGCACCACCCCTCGGCAAATGCAACACACCGTTTGGACATCACTCGAACGTGCCTCGCAAGCCTACAAAAACAACTTCAAACACTGTTGTAGGGATGTAGGCGCAGTTTGTCCTAGTAGTCATGCTGGACGCCCTAACGCGTTGCAGGTTATCCACCGATACCACAGCGCCGCGCTAGTCACCTTTGAACTTTGATCCTATTGGCCATTGCAAGACTGCCGTACGTGGCAGCCTCCGGTCTCCATCAGCCCAGTGTTATCCAACCTTTCATTGTCTTTACTTACTCTTGCCTCTTGGTCTGCTTGTTAAACCTGACCGCATCGACTGGAGGCCCCATAAATGCCCAGGACAATTGATGTCCGGACAGCTCTAGGACCTAAGGGCTTCTTCTGGACGCCATTGCCACTCCTCCATCGCCTCTCCTGACCGAACCCAACATGCCTGGCCTCCAAACGAGCCTGCCCCTCCCGTAGGACATCCCGATATTCCCGATTCTAACTGGACTCCAGGCTTCATCCTTCCGTCGTTATAAATGATCCCCTAACTCCCCTTAGGAACCCGTCTTCTTTTCTCGCTGGGGACTAGAAGAGACTGCGTGTAGCACTACTAGACCTTGTTCTATATGTGTTGGTTGCTCTGTCTCAAAGACTATCAGGCGTGAGTGGGCCCAGTCAAAAGCAGCCCTGGATTGGCTAGCGCCCGCCGCCGCCTGAGAGGACAACTTGGGGCTCTATATACAATAAACCCCTCATCCCGGTAAAACCCGTCTTTTCCGACAACTCAGGATTTGACCTGATGATTGTGGGGCTTAGACGCTGCAAAACTACCACTGTACTCTCACGATTGATGATTCGAACATCAATTGATACCCCTTTTAGCACAAGGCCATAGGTGGTGATCACGAAATATGTTAGATAACGTCATGGATAATGGATAATCTCACTGATGTCACATGAGTAACCAAAACAACTTCAAAAAATAAGGCTTGGAAACTAAAGGATTTCGAAGGATTTCGCATGGCTGATGCTCCTACAAATCTACGAAGCTTATAGTTATCATGTGAACTATAGTCCTTTCATTGATGACAAAAAGGTCGCATTCCGTCGTTAATACGCGTTTGGGATAGTGAGCAAGTCTGGTTCAGCAGGTATCCCGACTTTTCAAGCTGCGTTCTGTAGAGGAAGTATAGGTTTATCACTGGAAACGTTTTCAAACTAACTGCATATTTGCTGCCGACGTCAGCTGTGCCAATCGAGTCTCTGTCTCCATACTTCGTGAACAGAGGGAAATATTTTATTTTATTTTATTCGCAGTTGGACGCGAAAAGTGACTAAAACAGAGATGTCTCGTGCTTTCGCATATTCCGCTTTTTCAGACTCCAAACGCTCTAGGCGTGGGATTGAGCCCTAAGTCTTTCCATACCTTTCGTAGTAAAACGTCTCCATTAAAAACCACTTGATCCAGTTCTGATAAACTCTTTAGTCAAAATAAGACCAGTTCAGGCCAAAAAAAACTCTGAAATCCGGGAATCAATGTGCATCACTGAGACCAAACAAAGTGTAAACGCTGCCTTACAAGGGTAACAACTCACCCACACACATATACACTTTTCGAAGTATTTGCAGACCAGAATACTATTCGGAAAACGTATTTTCACTTCACAATAAGAGCAAAGCGCCAAATGCGCCAACAGAACTTCATTTAAATGGCCGGATCTAACCGATTAAAGACTTTATATACTTCAAAACAGCCAGAAAGACAAGATTAGTACAGCTTTATCAAAAAGCGACTTACTGCTAGGATGCAGTTGATAACAGCAACTGCGAGTTTTAAGGCAACCTCAATCGTCGCGCACATCGTGCTACCTAAAAGACATTTAGTAAAAAAGGCATTTGCATGCAATTAAAAATCATTGAAAACAAAGGGGTCACTTTTTGCTTGGTGTTGCCATATTTCCCCTGACTCTATAGTGCTTTAAGGAGGTATGGCAAAATCATCACCTATGGGCATTTTCTATATTTGTTGTCGCAGAATTCTTAAAGCCCCTTGTAAAAATTTCCGACAGTTGCATGTGGGCAGCTTCAAAAGCATACTTACTAGCTGATCACTGCTCAAACCAAGCTTCAACTAGTTTTGAGATTACGCCGTCTCCGAATGGAGCCAATGAGGTGACATATTGCAAGAAATTTAAGACCACACACAAGAAGGATTTTTCCAATGCAAGCATTGATGCTTTTTCTACACGGGCATATCCACTGGAAGATCATGAAATAGCACCAGGGAAAGTCTTCCAACGACGTTGATTGAGAACAGTGACAGTTTGACCGGCAAGCCCGACGATGTCCTCTGTGTACTCGATAGCAATGTGGAGCGGGCACGGTAACATGCACGTGAATTAGTTTCTAGCGATAGCGGACGTGCACCGCATCATCCGCACCTTCTCCTTCCCCTCCACTTGGACACAGTGCAAATACATATTCAAAAAGTTCGGAGGCGGGGGAGGACGAAGGTGGATGGCGCGGCCGAGCCCGTACCTAGGCGTGGCACCACAGTCCATGGTGCGCACACAAAATGACCAGGACTTTAACGAATAACGTCATCATCATCAGCAACAACTAACAGAGCAGCACAGAGACGAGCATGGCTGGACAGCCACGCCCCACCACCTCTAAACGAAGCGGGAACACAGGAGCATCTACCAGCAGGAAATCAGGTGAAAGAGAAATGCCAGCACACACCAGGTCTCGAGGGTCATGGTTTGTTGGTCATGGCATAGCAGATGCATGCATTCCTTGAGGTTCAATATACAAACACACAGCTGCACAAACTCCATATGACAACCCGTTCTGACAAAGGCAGATATTCAGACGCATGTCCATGGGCGTCTAGGGGAGGTGAACATTTCTGCACGACTGACCCGTAGTAGGCAATAATTCAAAAACTTGTGATGTGCTTTTTTAATTGTAGAGCGAAGTACTTGGGACACGAAGATATAGAAGTTGAGAGATAGGTGACCGCAGACACAGGCAACCTTAGGTTGTCTTCCCCAAAATATTTTTTGCACTGTCGACCGTTTATTTGGTAAAGGACCGGTTTTTTAGCGGAAAAAATAGGGAATACCTGAGACATTTGCCTGTGTTAATATAAACACTATATGGCATGCAAAGAGATGTACAAGTATTTCAATGCCAATGGTCTGTATAAGTCACCCTGTCACTTCAGAAGTATGTAAAATAAAATATGCAAGCAGTTTTCCAGGAAAAGTTCGCAATGCGTTAGGAAGGCCGTTGGATCGATTTAAGCCACTACTTTTGTTCCCTCATATGAATGAAATGAACACATGCCTAATGTTAAAATGTTGTGTTCATAAAACGTCCTTATTTTTTGCAAGCTCAATTTTCCAAGCAATGTATGTAAGAGACACCAGTCCTATGCACCAGTCCTAAGAATATGCTTATTGGGAGCATCGTTGAGTAAAGAAATTTCATTCCGAAACCAGCACCTCATCCTGTATAAAATAACTAAAAAACACTTTCCGTTTAAGAAACATGTCAAGAAAGAATACCCAAACCACCTTAAAGCAAATCTCAATATTTTGCCCAGTGTTGAATCGGAGGCCATTTTTATTTTCAAAATTGTCATAAAAATGTGAGATGGCTCGTTAGTAGTAATCGTGTCGTTGCATTCTTAGCTCCTCTAGTCCAGTACAGAAAAACCCAGTTATTCCAAAAATACTAAATTTTCCGTAATGTTAAATTATTAATGAACTGTTCTCAATGATAGAGGAAATGCAAGTTCTAATAAGCAGTCGGGAATAAAGAAATCCGGTCGTTAGAACATTACTTTTCTTCGCTTGACGTTCCAGGATTCAAATACGTAATTATTTACCATACTGGTAGCGCAGGTGTTAGCTAAAAGCCCAGACACGCGTGTTTTACCGATCATGTGAAGCTGCCTGGCGCGGCCGAGCCCGTACCTAGGCGTACCACCACACTCCCTGGTACGCACCCCAGATGACCAGGACTTTAACTAATAACATCATCATTATCATGAACATCAGCAGCAGCAGCAGCAGCAAGGGATTCGGCCCATCAGTGGGACCCCATTGTTCCCTGTGTGTTTTCTGATTTAAGAACTACAGGAATCGTTCCCTTTGTTATGTATGCTGTCGCACATTTATCACATCCCATAATTCCAGCAATATTTGTGTGTTTTTATGCCCTTATCTGTTGTCATCTCTGATTATAGGCTCAAAAATCAACAGGGAACACAGGGAGATTAAAATTCAACCTCCAATGGTTATGGGCCCCCTTCTGCTCGAGTACCTCAGGAGCTTAAAGGCGTTTCGTTCAATAAATTTTCCAGCTACCGGACTGCTGAAATCGAGTGTGTTCTACGGCCTAAAAGTCAGGATTTGGGTAGATTTAATGAATAAATTAGTATGTAAATAAATAAAATTAATAAACATAATAAATAAATACAAATCTAGCTTTTCGTAGAAGGATGTGTGCTCATGGGCGTCAAGAATCAAGGCAAAGCCTGTAGTAGCTGTCAAATCATTTTATTCAAATGGAAGCAACACGAGCCCTTTGGAAGGATTTCAAATAGAAACCTCATGCCTGTGAGATTACTAAGGAACTCAAACCTGTGCCAGCCTTATCAGTAGTGAAACTATCTCTAGGGAATTTTCTAGTGCGCAGTGGAACGTGCTACGAATAAAGCCGCGCGGAAGGACATGAAACCCGAGAACTTTTTTATAGATACGGCGTCAAGCCTCATGCTAGTGGGACTACTAAGCAGCTCAAGCCTGTGCCAGTAGTGAAACCACCTCTAGTGAATTTTTTGGTACGTAGTGCAACACGCGGAAAGACACGAACTCCGAGACGTTTTATTATAGATACGGCGTCATGGCGTTCTGTAAAAAAAACAATGCATAAATAGGTGCTTTTCTTGAAATACTTTACTCACCGCACAGAAACCCGAAGAAGCTGAAAATGCCTACAATTCACAGCAAGAGGCCAGATTGACCTTACGTACCGACCGAGGTCGTTGTGTAACAGGTAGTGTTTCAGGCCCTGAGGGGTATAGGGCTTTCACCCCTGTGGCCTTATCGATCGTGCACACACAAAACACCTTCTCGGCCAATCAGCTTTCCGTCTGGTCACATGTGAAGACAGACACCTTCACCTTGACATTTGTTTTCTCGCTTCCTGAACATTTAGAGCACCGGCCGCACACGGACTTGAATTGCACGCACGTTGGAGGAAGAGGCTTGTTAGATAGTTACATTTTTTCAGGCGAACATATTGTCGACAAGCCGTAATAAAAATCAAAACAGAGCTTATGGTCCGGGAAACCGAAATGGGGGTTTGCTAACTTCCACTTGTTTGAACGTCAGTGAGCAAGTTAAAACAAGTATGAACACATTGTCTGAACTGTCCTCGAATGGAGGGGCAGAAAATAGAATGCAAATGTTTTCTGAAGGTTTGCGATTCCTCAGATACGTCTCCAGTAAAAATAAAAAGGGACGGGCAATGTCCTCCAATTCGTAAATCTGTCAGGGGGGGTTTTGACATTCAGGTTAGCGAACGTATGAAATCCGGATCTATAACCTGAGGAAAAAGAAGTGTTCACCAGATCGAGGGAATTGTATTACTGACGTTTCGGAAAGCTGGGCAGGGTGTTCATTATCAAGGCGTTTAGTGCTAATATCAATCAGAAGTTTGGATAAACAGCAAAAAGGACGATTGATATTCGTTATTTATGTCAGACAAGCCTAATCTGCTTATACTGCGGCAATTAAGATGTATGCTGGAGGTCTGCGATTTCTTTACGTTTTCCATTATGAACTATCGTCGGATAGGTGTCACTCAGTTAAGGCCGAGGAGGGAGAACAGATATGAGGTGGAAATTATTGCTATCTCAGGCTGCTACTACTCGATCTGTTTGCTCGCCACGAAGATGTGCATGTGGTTAGCTGGGCTGAGATCGGAAAGCGTCTGTTATGCTAGGACCAGCACAGCCCTCACAGCCTGGTGTGCGCTGGCAGTTCCTTGACACCTGGTTCCCTGCCGATAGACGCGCTGGCGTTTCCGACGGGTATACAGGTCGTGAGCTTGGCTGCCCAGTCAGACTCGTCTCTCCGCTGCTGTTGTTGCTGCTGCTGCTGCTTCTGATGATGATGATGATGACGATGATGATGATGATGATGATGATGACGATGATGATGATGATGATGATGATGATGATGATGATGATGATGATGATGATGATGATGATGATGATGATGATGATGATGATGATGATGATGATGATGATGATGATGATGATGATGTTATTGGTGAAAGTCCTGGTCATCTGGGGTGCGCACCAGGGCGGGTGGTGGTGCGCCTAGGTACGGGCTCGGCCGCGCCAGGCAGCGTCATAAGATCGATAAAACACGCGTGTCTGGACTTTTAGCTAGCACGCGCGCTGTCAGTACGATAAATAATTGGGTAGTGGTTTCCAGCAATGTCAGGCGAAGAAAACTCATGTTCTTACGACCTAATTTCTTTATTCACGACCGCTTATTAGAACTTACATTTCATCTATCATTGGAGACAGTTTATTGATAATTCAACATTAATAAACGCTTTAGTATTTTTGGAGCAATTGGTTTATAACAATTTTGTTAATTAAAATGGCCTCTGCTTCAAAACAAGAAAAAAAGCTCACTGGGAGATAAAGTGTCAGTAATATTAAGCAAAATCTTGTTTTTAGGTGACTTTGGTATTCTTCTTGACATTCTTTTAGACGGGAAGCGTTTTGTAATTAGTTTATACGGAATGAGATTTTGGTTTCGGAATGACATCTCATACAGCTACTTTACTCAACGACATTCCTAATAAGCATATTTGCGTCTTTTCCAGGACTGATTCGCAGGACTGGTGTCCCTTACATGCATTACTTGGAAAATTGAGCCAGCAAAAAATATGGGCTTTTATGAACGCAACGTTTTAACATTATGCATGTGTTCATTTCATTCCTATATGGAACAAAAGTAGTGCCTCAAATCGATCCAACGGGCGTCTTAACGCATTGCGAGCTTTTCCTGGAAAACTGCTTGCATATTTTGTTTTACATACTCCTGAAGCGACAGGATGACTTATACCAACCATTGGCATGAATATACACGTACATCTCTTTGCATGCCATATAGTGTTGATATTAGCACAAGCAAATGTCTCAGGTATTCCCTTTTTTCGCTAACAAAACCGGTCCTTTACAAAGTAAACGGTCGACAGTACAGAAACACACTTTTGGGTGAGACAGGCTAAGGTTACCTGTGTCTGCGGTTACCTATCTGTTAACTCCTATATCTGCGTGTCCCAAGTACTTCGCACTACAATTAAAAAAGCGCATCACAGGTTTTCGAATTATTGCCTACTGCCGGCCGGTCGCGCAGAAGAAAGTCCTCTCTCCCCTCTGCGACTGAAGACATGTGTCTGCATATCTGCCTTTGTTTGAAGGGGTTTGTGAGGCTGTTTGTTTGTACATTGGATCTCAAACATTGCATACATCTGTTATGCCATGGTAAACAACCATGACCCTCTCGGCCTGGTGTGTGCTGGCATTTGTCTGGCACCTGATTCCCTGCCAGTAGATGCGCCTGTGTTCCCGCTGCGTTTACAGGTGGTGGGCGTGGCTTCCCAGCCACACTCATCTCTCTGCTGCTCTCTTTATCGTTGCTGTTGCCGATGATGATGATGATGATGATGATGATGATGATGATGATGATGATGATGATGATGATGATGATGATGATGATGATGATGATGATGATGATGATGATGATGATGATGATGATGATGATGATGATGATT